AGATGCTCTTCTGTGTTCAGAGATGCTCTTCCGTGTTCAGAGATGCTCTTCCGTGTTCAGAGATGCTCTTCTGTGTTCAGAGATGCTCTTCTGTGTTCAGAGATGCTCTTCCGTGTTCAGAGATGCTCTTCTGTGTTCAGAGATGCTCTTCTGTGTTCAGAGATGCTCTTCCGTGTTCAGAGATGCTCTTCCGTGTTCAGAGATGCTCTTCCGTGTTCAGAGATGCTCTTCCGTGTTCAGAGATGCTCTTCTGTGTTCAGAGATGCTCTTCTGCAGAGCTCGCTTGCATCGAGTGCTTATTTGAGTTACTGTTGCCTTTCTATCAGCTTGAATCTGGTCATTCTCAGACCTCTGACATCAACAAGGCATTTTCTCCCACAGAACTGAAGCTCACTGGATATTTTCTCTGTTTCTGATCATTCTCTGTAAACCCTAGAGATGGTCAAGCGTAAAGAATCCCAGTAGATCAGCAGTTTCTGAAATACACCAACAACCATCCCATGTTCAAAATCACTTTCCTCCTCATTCTGATGCTCAGTTTGAACTGCAGATCGTCTCATGTCTACATGTCTAAATGCATTGAGTTGCTGCCATGTGATCGGCCGATCTTTGCATTAACGATCAGAGGTGTAAAGTGGCCGGTTGTGTGTGTGTGTGTGTGTGTCACCAGTCATTAACAAATGCTTCAGCAGTATGTGGTTACATCACAAAACTGATCATCCTAATTTTTGGTAGTCTAGGACATGTGCACAGATTATGCGTCAGAGGTTTGCAAATTGCTGGACTGAGTAAAAAGACCTCTAAGCAAATAGCCAAATACTGTTCTGTGTCAGCAATCATAGGCAGTCTGCATGTTTGGAGAAGGCGATGTCACCTCTATCCATAGTCTATTTATTTATATATTCATGTGGTTGTGACTATTGTCGATGTGTGTTTTGTCAGGTGAAACATAACAGGCTCTTTGTGAATATTTGGATGCTGTGTTGTTTTAATCAGTGTTGGTCATTCCAAATAAAATAATCAAATGTGTTTTTGATCAGTGTGTCAGTGTGAAAAAAAATCAGTGTGTGTGTGTAAATATATACACTCACCGGCCACTTTATTAGGTACACCTGTCCAACTGCTCGTTAACACTTAATTTCTAAGCAGCCAATCACATGGCGGCAACTCGGTGCATTTAGGCATGTAGACATGGTCAAGACAATCTCCTGCAGTTCAAACCGAGCATCAGTATGGGGAAGAAAGTTGATTTGAGTGACTTTGAACGTGGCATGATTGTTGGTGCCAGAAGGGCTGGTCTGAGTATTTCAGAAACTGCTAATCTACTGGGATTTTCACGCACAACCATCTCTAGGGTTTACAGAGAATGGTCCGAAAAAGAAAAAACATCCAGTGAGCGGCAGTTCTGTGGGCGGAAATGCCTTGTTGATGCCAGAGGTCAGAGGAGAATGGCCAGACTGGTTCGAGCTGATAGAAGGGCAACAGTGACTGAAATAACCACTCGTTACAACCGAGGTATGCAGCAAAGCATTTGTGAAGCCACAACACGCACAACCTTGAGGCGGATGGGCTACAACAGCAGAAGACTCCACCGGGTACCACTCATCTCCACTACAAATAGGAAAAAGAGGCTACAATTTGCAAGAGCTCACCAAAATTGAACAGTTGAAGACTGGAAAAATGTTGCCTGGTCTGATGAGTCTCGATTTCTGTTGAGACATTCAGATGTTAGAGTCAGAATTTGGCGTAAACAGAATGAGAACATGGAACCATCATGCCTTGTTACCACTGTGCAGGCTGGTGGTGGTGGTGTAATGGTGTGGGGGATGTTTTCCTGGCACACTTTAGGCCCCTTAGTGCCAATTGGGCATCGTTTAAATGCCACGGCCTACCTGAGCATTGTTTCTGACCATGTCCATCCCTTTATGGCCTTTATCAGCGAACAGGGGGAGTGGCTGAGAACGATGACGTTGATGTCGTGCGCTAGTTTGAGTCGTCATACGTCACGACCAAACGTCAGCGATTGGTTATGGCAGATCCAGAGTGGCTCTGAGCAGATCCAATAGTTTTAAACTTCAACAGAGTACCCGCCTACAAGGAACTTAAAGGGTTAGTTCACCCAAAAATGAAAATGATGTCATTAATGACTCGCCCTCGTGTCGTCCCAAGCCCGTAAGACCTCCGTTCATCTTCGGGACACAGTTTAAGATATTTTAGATTTAGTCCGAGAGCTTTCTGTCCCTCCATTGAAAATGTATGTACGGTATACTGTCCTTGTCCAGAAAGGAAATAAAGACATCATCAAAGTAGTCCATGTGACATCAGTGGGTTAGTTAGAGTGTGTTGAAGCATCGAAAATACATTTTGGTCCAAAAATAACAAAAACTAGGACTTTATTCAGCATTGTATTGTCTTCCGGTTCTGTTGTGGACCCGCGTTCAGTGCCGCCGCTGACGTAAGACGCTGCTGACGTGTGTCTGGTGTGTGTGTGTGTGTGTGTGTGTATTCTGGTTCTGTTGTGGATCCGCGTTCAGTGCCGCCGCTGACGTAAGACGCTGCTGACGTGTGTCTGGTGTGTGTGTGTGTGTGTGTGTGTGTGTGTGTGTGTATTCTGGTTCTGTTGTGGATCCGCGTTCAGTGCCGCCGCTGACGTAAGACGCTGCTGACGTGTGTCTGGTGTGTGTGGTGTGTGTGTGTGTGTGTATTCTTGTTCTGTTGTGGATCCGCGTTCAGTGCCGCTGCTGACGTAAGACGCTGCTGACGTGTGTCTGGTGTGTGTGTGTGTGTGTGTGTGTGTGTGTGTGTGTGTGTGTGTGTATTCGGGTTCTGTTGTGGATCCGCGTTCAGTGCCGCTGCTGACGTGTGTCTGTTGTGTGTGTGTGTGTGTGTGTATTCAAACATGTTTAAGGATTTCCACACAGAGGAAGACTTGCATTTTTTGCCCAGCCATATTTATTTGAACCCGAATACACGGACGCACCAGACACACGTCAGCAGCGTCTTACGTCAGCGGCGGCACTGAACGCGGATCCACAACAGAACCCGAATACACACACACACACACACACACACCAGACACACGTCAGCAGCGTCTTACGTCAGCGGCGGCACTGAACGCGGATCCACAACAGATCCAGAATACACACACACACACACACACACACACACACACCAGACACACGTCAGCAGCGTCTTACGTCAGCGGCGGCACTGAACGCGGATCCACAACAGAACCCGAATACACACACACACACACACACACCAGACACACGTCAGCAGCGTCTTACGTCAGCGGCGGCACTGAACGCGGATCCACAACAGATCCAGAATACACACACACACACACACACACACACACACACCAGACACACGTCAGCAGCGTCTTACGTCAGCAGCGGCACTGAACGCGGATCCACAACAGATCCAGAATACACACACACACAGACACACACACACACACACCACACACACCAGGGAGTTTCCTGCAGCCTCGGCCAATCGCTGAGCTCAATTTAGGCAGTTTGTCTTAACTCCCGCCCCTTCTCTGCGCACTCCTCCCGGCCAGCACTAATGATACCCCTGATCTCTGACCCGCCCCGGCACCGCCGGACACATCCTCAGAGACGAGCCAGGCAGAACTAGCCCAACCAGAGCCATCTCTGAGCCAACAGGCCTCCTCAGACGATAGCCGAGAGGATCGCAGCGATGAGATGGGATGAGACAGCGAGCGCTGCGGGAAATGATTTGAGGAGTATCCGCTGTAACCACACAGATGGGTCCTGGATGAGAGCAAAATGACGAATTGTACCTGTTTATTTTGACTAGTTTTTTAGTGTTGTAACTTTTTAGATTATACCTTTTTACACCATTGTGCTGCTCCTAAAATATGCAATTCATTATGTTACATCACTAAGGATGGAAATCATTTTTCAAAGTTTATCATTACTGGTTCCGATTCCACGTCAATAATTTTATCCCTTAAAACTCATCTTTGATCACCAAAATTACACATTTAAATGTTTTTTTTCTTTCTTGAAATAAAATTATTCATGCCTTAAAATAGCTTGAATTCAACATCCGTGCCTCATTTAGTATACGCGTTGGATCTATGAATATGCAAATGAACCCCGCCTCCACTCACTCACTCAGCTCAGAGATCCACTGGTTGACGATCACACGTTGATCTGATTGGTTACAAGGTAGTTTGTGACGTCAGAAACCCCAGCGCTTTCAAACCGTGTTTTTGAGACTGTCTTTGGTTCACTGCAGTTTTAAGGAGAAAATACTCAACATGCTGTCGACTTATGAATTTGCACATGGTTTGTCTTAAAGCACATTAAAACACCACATGGACATAGACACAATATTAAAAACTTGATTTTCACCACAGGGGGACTTTAACCATTTATGACCACATTTACACTGTAAAGATGGTGTCATGTATATATTTACAGTAAAGCAACTCGGATGAGGCATTTTAAGTCCTAAACTTAATGAATGCTCATTACAAAAAGAAACCCTCTGGTATTATGGTGTAAATTCAACATAACCTGCGTAATTCTGGCCGGTGTCTCCTTAAATCTAACACTGAATGTGGGTTGTGTCACAAACTCCCGGTAACATGTTGTTTATGGCGCGGAGAGGCGGACAGCATTGACGTCTATGAAGGGTTTCCACAATAACACCTACTCCTCAGAAGACACTTTCTGTCAGTCTGTCTCTCCCACACGCTCTCCGCCAGCCTGTGACTCTGGCGAAAGCTAAATTGGCTATTTCCATGTAAATATGAGGCTTGTGTGTGGTTTAATTGCTATGGAGATGACTTAGGACGGACCGTGTGATTTAAGCAATCAGAACGAAGCATCAGGGAGGAGAACGAGAGAGGAAAGAAGGAATAATGCTGGATGAACAGAAGTTGGAGGTGGAGAAGCTTGTGATTAATTAGGAGACTGGGAATAACCTTTTCTTTCTCTCTCTCTCTCTCTCTCTGTGTGTTTCAGGGGAAGAGGAATAAACCAGGAGTGGAGTCCGTCAGTTCTCCCGATTCAGGAAGAGGAAGAGGAGAGAAAAAAGCCATCAAGTAGGTGCAGGGACTTTCATTTCGTTCATTGGGTTTTTTTTTTTAGTTCGTTGTGTTGGAGCGAAGCCTGAAAATATGAAATCAGCGCTGCGATCACAGGAAAACTTCACTGTTTTAAATCTACGGAAATCATTCATTTCAGAAGTCGTTTGAGCAGTGGCGGTCCGACAGAGGAAGCTAGAGAGGCTCAAAAATGTGTTTCAAATGAACATAGCAGCTAAAAAGATCAAATTCAGTGTTGCTTTAATCCATGTACTTACTAATGGGACTACCTTAGATGCCTAAGTAATGTCAAAAATGTAACAGCATGATAGCCATTTTAATTTGTGCATTTATTTATTTATTTATTTGAGGCAATTAAGTTGCATCATTTTTTTCAATGAAAAAATAAGCTTGAAAAAAAACACTGGGAGTTTCTTAAATTGTGCGTTTCGTTCGTTTACCATATTGACAAGCATTGGTTTGTTGATTAGACTGATTAAAACACATCATTAATTATCAAAATAATTTTTGGATATCAGAGAAAGATAATCTGTTTACAGGAGCATAAATACCATATATATATATATATAATTAAAAATAATAAATGATAGCATATCAGCAAAAAATATATGTATACAAAATGTTGCTTTATTAATATTATTAAAATAATAAATAATATTATTACAATAATTTTAAAAATGGGAAGAATAATATATTAAAAAATAATAAATAATACAATATCAGCAATAATAATTAAAATAGTTTAGAAAAAGATGCCTACTGCAATCTTTTACTGTTTCTGGAAAATTCCCACGGCCTAAAAGTCAAGATTTCCTTTTTTTATTTCATTCACCGTTAAGTTTTTTCAGTCTAGACTTGCTTTGAAGAATAAAAGAAAACACACGTCTCTCTCTCTGAACGCCTGGGGTTCGGCCGAAGCTTGTCTGAATGAGGGCGCGGGACCTTCTCGTTCACGAGGCGGTTATTCTCGCACACACACGCACCGGTAGAAGTGTGTGCTTCGTGACATCGCAGCTGCTGTATTAGACTAATGCCTTCTCTGGATTTAAAGCTTGCAGGTGCTTGTGGAAATCAGATTGCATTTTTTTCCCCTGAAGCTGTTGTTGAAATAATAACTTACCAAGAATGACCTTTTCCCCCAATACCAGGTTCACCCGACCCGTTTCTCCTGACCTCTCACCTTTGCTGTCTCCCAAATGTTTCTTTTCTTAGCAACACATGAATGGTTTGTGTTTAATAACGTGTGATGCTTCACAGCTTTCCATCTGTCTCTTTCTCTCCTTGATAAACTAATGAACTCACAGGTATAATCTTGCTCGTTTCTGCTTTGCTGCCTCATGATGCATTGGGTCTGTTTTGATTTCCCTGTCTGATGATAAAGCCCTTTATGCACCTCTCAGTTTCTTCCTCTCCCTCCTCCTGTCCTGAAGAAGAGGAGATTCCTGGAGATGGCCTGTGTGTGGATTGCTGGATGAAATGGGTCGCTCATGTTCAACTGACGTGTGTGTGTGTGTGTGTGTCTCTTCAGTGATTTAGACAGAGACTTTTGGAATAACAATGACAGCAGTTCAGTGCAGCAGCGCTGGAGCTCATACCCGCCCAAGGAGTTTGTACTAAACATTTCTCCTTATGCCCCTTACGGAGATCCACGCCTCTCACTCAAGTGAGTCTCAGTTCAGGCTGGTAAGAGACACCAAACCCCTGACCCACAACTCATACCTCACCCGAACCTCACCTAACCCGAACCCGAACCCGAACCCTTCCCAAACGCACCCGAGATTTGTTCTGCCAGACTTTAACAGCCTGGTCTTTCATTCATGGAGAGCCGCCCACTTAGACAGGAAAACACCGTCTGACTGACGCATGCTGGAAACTGACCAATTACTTGTTTTTTTTATATTTTTTTTTTTATTTGAAATTGATACCACGAAATTTAATGTTCCAGAAAATCATTCATATGGTCGATAAAATGCAAGTTGCGTTTTATTTTAATATTCAGAACAGAAGCAAAACTGAAAGTATGAACACTAAAGCAGAATGTTTTCTGAACACATTTGTATCATTTGGTTTTTATTTATTTAATAATCGTTTCCTTTATCCTTTATCCGTCAACAGTTTCTCGCTGAAGCATGTATTTATACGGCTAAAATCTAAAACGGCTAACTAGACAGTTTTTTATCAATATATTAATAATTATTATGTTGTTGTTTTTTTAAAATATTATATTATATGGTTTTTATTATGTTTATGTATGTGTGAATATATATATATATATATATATATAATATTATTGTAACTTACAATATAATAAAAAAAAATAATAATATATATATATATATATATATATATATATATAATATTCTAAAATGGTTTGCCAAACTGTAATATAAACATTTAATTTTTTCTAATTACAGTATATAAAAATCATATACAATCATTACATTGTGAGTTACAATATATATAATATTCTAAAACGGGTCGCCAAACTGTAGTATAATCTTTTTTAATTATATATAATAATCATATACATTCATTACATTGTGAGTTAAAATATATACTGTATATATATATATATATATATATATATATATATATATAGTAATTCACAATGTATTAAGAATATATATAATAAATAATAATATATATATATGTTTATATTACAGTTTGGCAAACCGTTTTAGAAGTTGCATAAAGCGAACCAAACATATAGTCATAAAGCCTATTAAAAACGAATGTTCTGTTAGCATTGGTTGTGTTTGTGTGCGTCAGACGGTTATGAGCGGGCTGTGGGCTTAGACTAACACAACCCATATTTTACTGTACCGCATCTCACCTGTTACCCAACATTATCCCCGATCCCTGGCAGGGCTGTAATGATGAGGAAGCATCCCGTACGCTAACACACTTTTCCAAAAGGAAATGGCAATGAACTCATAATGCCAAACTCATAGTGTCCTTCATCTGATTGTGATGCGGTCCATAGTATGGGATAGTACAGTACCATTACACCGGACGAAATGACAAGATAAAGACAAACTACGTGAAAGATGTAATTTCTGCTCCTATAGGGATATTATGCACAATATATCCATATCATATCAGTTATGTGTATCACTGTAAAAGGAGAAGTTGCTGCCTTAAACATCCACGTTGATTGTACTCAAAAAATTAAGTCATTTCAACTTAAATTACATTAATGTGTTTATATAATTTATTTAGATAACTTCTGCCGTTACTGATATTTTTCAACTTTTATTTTAAGATTTTCACGACTTTTGCCATCATTTAGCACTAACCTATAGAGATATAAAGCTTTAAGCATATAATTAATCGTTTAACCGCTTAATATTTGTGACTTTTTACTATAACACATTTCAAAAGGAATATTTATCATATTTCATTCTGGTCATTTTTAATGTTGCTGTGATATTTAAATTTACTGAATTTATTTTTTACTTTTTTAACTTATAATATTGGCTATTAATTGGTTATCTTCTATAAAATGAAAATAATTACTGACTTATTCCATTTAATCTGTTATTTTAGTATTTTTATATGCTTTTATAGTATTTATTAATATTTTGAATTAGCTTATCTGTTTATATTTTCAGATTTAATTTTAATTTAAGTCTTAGTCAATTTGCTTTGTGTTTTTGTCTTTTATATATATATATATATATATATATATATATATATATATTTCTATTTCGCTTTATTTTATTTTATTCGCTTTAAGTTTTTTTTTAAACTTTCTTAAACTTTTTTTATTTCAGTTAGTTGGCAAGGCAAAATTTCAATGTAAAAAAAAAATATTTTTTATAATTGCTTTAATGATTTCAGCTTTGTCTCAGTTAACTTTTACTAGTTTCGGCACCAAACGGAAGTCCAGTCTGTTCAGTGGTGACGCTCATGACAGAAATTGCACACATCACGTTTAACCTTGTGATATGAATGAAAGTCATTATGCAGATTTTACTCTTGACTAAGCTTTGCAGGACTGCAGGGACATTATCTATATATCGGACAGTTTGCTGCTAATCATAGCAACAGTCTGACATTCAAATCTGTTTTGTTTCACCCAAAAAATTGCACGATTGGACCCTAAATGTCCCTCACTCCCTACAGCCCTGCTTGTCTCTTCTCAGCATATGACCTTTAACCTTTCACCCCCTCCCTCCCCCCCTCCCCCCATGGGGTGTTACCATGGAGACGGACAACCCTCCAGCTTCAGCTATCCAGCGAACAGCAACAATAACAGTAAAGAAACAAACAATCAAACCAAAAGGCGCTCTTGACCGGTGTGTAACCCTCAGTGCCGTAGGCTGAGGCTCCCGGCGAGGGTTGACCGTTACAGTCTGGTTGTGGTGTGGTAACCCCCGTTTTGCCCTGTGCTTTGACCTTTCTCGGGCTTGTCCTCGATGTGTCCCTGATTCTTCGCGGCGGTAAGCCCTCACCGGCCTAATCCAGACAGGTTTCGCTAAAGAAAGAAACGGTTTAAACATGCTTGTCCATCAAAACCAGCGGCGGTCGCACAGAGGGGTTGAGAATCAGATGGGCCGGCCGGTCTAGAAATAAACAGGTTATCCGCGGTGGCTCGGGTGCTTCAGCTCTCCTTTCTCTGTGGACCTGCTGGATTAAAGCGGTGTGGGTGAATGCACTAAAGACGCACGCCGCAGATTCAAGCAAAACACACCTGGAACAGCCACTCCGTCACTCACTAATACTATAGAGCTAGAGTCATGTTTTATAGATATTTTAGATGCTTGTATCATGGGATGCAGAATAGATCTCCTATTGGCTCTTAATATATCGAGGATTTTAAATATATAAATATATAGAGGATTTGGTTACACTTTATTTTAAGGCGACAGTTACATTGTACTCATTTAAAAAGACCTCAGTAATATTAATTAACTACATGTACTTACTATAGAGTTACGGTTAGGGTTTGGTTTAGGGTTAGTTACTTGTAATTATGCATATTTTACTGTTAATACTATAGTAAGTACATGTAGTAATGGGTAACTGCACCTTAAAATAAAGTGTTTCCGAGTTTTTAAATTTGTAAATATAGGCTGAACTTGGATATTTTTTACGTTTGTCTTAGCACTTAGTTACACTAATAATTTAAACATAATCTTTAGCAAATCTCAAAAATAATATCCAGTTTTTCACACTGTACATTATAATGTTAAACACATACCTCGGGTCTTTATCGACCCAGGACGGTATTCACTATACAATATCAGCCGTTTATCAGTTATTGACCATAACATGAGAATAAATACTGTCTTATTGGAATTGACCAGACGTGCATCACCGCTAAATATATAAAATTATTATTATCATCAGTTCGGTTGGCTATAACTTGAAAATAATTATTTTAGTATATAGACTATATGCATATATATCATTTTTCTCTCTGAAATCTGATTCCTCACCTGGTTTTGTTTCAATCTGCGGCTGTCAGCTTCGTGACTGAAAGCTCTTTTTCTCTTATCCTGCTGTTGTTGATGTTGTAGTTGGTGTCGATGTTGTATTGTGAGTGTTTGAGTGGTGCGGTAGTGTTCCTTAAATCTCCTGATAACTGCATGATGACTTTCACCAGGTCCACAAACCGGTGACCCCGATTATGAAACGCCGACGACAAAAGTCTATATGAAGTCTGCAACATTTCTGGCTGTCATTAATGCGACGCATGTCACCGGGAGAGCAAACGTGGGTCGTTGTAATGTAAATCCACTCGTAAGGCTCTGCTACGCCCCCTATAGGAGGATCTGCACTTGGCACTGCATCTTTAAAAAGCCCAGGGTGACTTGTGTGGTGTCTTGTAGCTCGCTGTGAGGTCACACGCATGTTACACTCTCACGGGATAAATCATTGTTATTTATCCAACCCTGTAACCGTTTCTTCTCTCCCAATGTTTGTCCTTTTCCTCCTTTTTCCCTCTCTCTGGCGGACCCCTCAGTGGGGCGGTTCCCGGGGGCCAGAGAGGGTCCGTGGGGGGTGTATTTGGGGACGGAGGGGGGCCGTCCCGCAGTGACAGCGTGAGGAACATGATGACGGGGGGCATTAAAGCCGGCAGGTGGCAGACGGTGCAAAGCCGCCTGCAGTCAGGAGACTTCAAGAACGGCAAGTGAGTCGAGCCCACCGGAGACGAGAAAGAAGAGAGTGTGTGTGTGTGTGTGTGTGTGAGATGTTTAAGAAAGTTAAAAATGCCTTTTGTGTGGGTCTGCACTTTGCTGAGATTTCAGGCCGCCCTGCAGTCTCATAATAATAGCAGAATCCGTACGACTGACTCACACACACTTAGACGCACTTTTAGAAGCGACGATCACTCATTTCAGTCCATTATAAAACACAACACCCGCGATGACTCAAAAGACGGCGTAATTGCTGATATCATGCGCCGGATTCAGCCTGCGAATATGAAATGTGAGGGATAATAAATATAACTGCAAAGCAGAAGGGTCTTGTATGAGCCTGAAGGGGTTATTTAGCAATATTACAGACTGGCTGACTACATGATCGGGCTTGTTATATGGCTACTTAACATATTAATGCACTGATTTTTATCGAGTTTAGTGTTGACATTGATTCAGAATGCATTTTCTTATTGCGGTCTTATTGTGAACGATTCACCTGTGCATATTATTTCACGTA